TCCTCCCTCTGTGATCTTGGATCACCTTTATCACGTGGAGCATAAAGGCCTAGACTGGTGTCCAGCACTCCTTAGGGCTCGGGAGCTTTCCCTAAATGACACTCCCAAACCCATCACTTCTTGCCGGGTGCTTTTCACAGCACCTTGTCTGTTTCCTCCATGGCCATTTTTACAGGTGGTATTTATTTTCATATTGCTTTGTTTATTTGTTTGCTTTAAAGTCTGTCTGTTCCATGCAACAATAAGCCGCAGGAGAGCAGGGTCCTCTCCGTGGTGGTTTTGCATATCTTCAGCACCTACCATGGTGCCTGGCAAAGAGCAGGTGTTCAAAAATACCTGCCGACCTATGGATGACTAAATGAACAGTCAAAGGGAACTGGAATATTCTAGGTCATGAGAGGGTCTGAGTGGGATTGTCTTGTCCTGACCAGGCTCATCCTGGAACATGACCCAGGGACAGTAGACACCTTGCCCAAGTTGCATGCAAATGAATAGCAGTTTCCAAATGGGGGGGCCTTATGTCCAGAATTTGCTTCCTGGAAGGAAGGTGCCCCCAGATTTCAGCTCTGTCAATCCAGGGGCCAGACTGTCGGGTTCCCAGTTGAAAAACAACAGCTGTGAATACTCAATGAGACACATGCACTGAGATTCTTCGATCGGTGGTACGTGTATAAATTTCAATAATAATGGGGCCGCGTGCATCAGACCTGTCAATCATTACTCCCATGCTGCTGAGACATTGCTCAATGTCAGACACACGCCTCGCAGACATAGTCTCTGGAATCCAGCCACACAGCCTGGCCCCCACCGTGGGCAAGCCCCTCCCCTGCCAGGCCTGTCTCCCTGTCTCCAGCAGGGAGGAGACTTGGTGGACAGCCTTGCTGTCACTCCCCAGGTTCCAGAACTCTGAGCACCAAGGTGGTGCCGGATGAAATGTCATCTGTTTGCTCTCTGTTCATCTGGTGCCATCACAACTTCCTACATATCTAATGATGTCTCTCCTTTCTTAAAAATGCCTATACTGGCTCCCTTTTGCCTGGAGAATGGAACGTCTACTCACTACATAGCATTTGAGACCTTCCTTAATCTGGTCACCAAACCCCTTTCTCACTCACTTTGCGACCCTCCAGGTGGGAGCCCTGTTGAGCTTCTCTCACCTCTTCCACCTCTGGCCCTGCTCCTCCTGGCCCCTCACCTCTCCCAGTCCCATGCATATCGACTGCCTGGCATGGAGCCCAGGACACAGTAGGTGCTCAGTCTTCCCGCTTAGGAGACTAAGGAAGGTCTCAGAGATGAAGCTACATTCAATTTGTTTCACAGGGCAAACGTAGAGAATTGGACAGAAGACACTGCAGTAACAAGAGAGGAGGAGGATATTTCAGGCCGTGGGCACAGCAGGCCAGAGTGACCGGCAAGAAAGAGGGGAGAGGGAGAGTGGGGATCAGGAAGGGAGAAGCCCCTGGCTTGGCATTTTAGGAACCCAGCCCATTGGCACTCACAGCACTGGATGATGCCAGTCTCAGGGCCACCTCTGAGATTGTATATAAACATTCATTGGCCGTCGCTTCTGTGCCAGGCTCTTGGCCAGGCACTAGGAAGGAACTTCTAAGGTATTACAAACACCGAACTACAGTAAAAGGAAAAGAACTGTGTGCCAAGAAGAAAGATGGGAACTGACATCTGTTGGGTACCTGCTGTGTCCCAGGCACTTTGTATTCACCCCCCTGATGGTGGATTGTGCTTCTAAAGATGCCTGCCACAATATCCCATCCCTCATGCTCTTTTGCGATGTGACCACCCCACCTTCCCATCAAGAGTAGGTGTATATTTCTCCTCCCCTTGAATCTGTGTTGACTGTGTAACTTCTGAGACGAGGCCTTAAGAGACTGGTAGCATGTCCTCTTTCCTGCTGTGAAGGGACCCTGTGAGGAGGACTATCTGCATCTGACCACCAGAGACCATGCTGTGAGGAAGCCCAAGCTATCACGAGGCAAGAGGCCGTGCCGAGGATCCCCAATCCATCAGCTGCATTAGTGAAGCTGATGTGCTTGAACCTTGTAGTCCAGCCCATCCACCAGCCAGGAGAATGACCCCATGGGACACCTCGCAGACCAGAAACACCCAGGCCCGAATCCCTAACCCACAGAATCATGAACAAATAAAATGATTATTTTTATAAGCCACTGCATGTTGGGGCAGTTTGCTAGGGCTGCAACAGAGAACCGAAACATCTCTTTAATCCTCCTACACAACTCCAAGAGGCCGGTGGTGTTATCTCTGCAGGTAAGGAAATGGGATCAGAGAGGTAAGATGACTAGTCCAACATCCTATGTGAAGACAACTGCAGAAGTGGATTCAAATCCAGGCCTCTGTGACCCCAAGACCTGGCCAGTTCTCTCCGTTGTGGTGCAGAGAGCAGAGCCTTTGTTCCTGCTGAACCTCTCCCTCCAGGGAGGGCGGCTGGGAGAGAAACAGTAGAAGGAGGACTTTTCTCCCTATTCTTTTGTACCTTTTATATTTTGAATATATTACCTATTCTAAAATGAACAAATAAAGGTAACATTTTTATTTACAAGAGAATAATTATGGTATGAGTGCATGTTAGGGTGGGAGTGGATGAAATTAGAGGCCACTTCACAGAACAGCAGCGTTTGGGCTTGGCTAAGAATTCAGTGGTGCCCACCCCTGGCCCTGCTCTGGAGTCACCCAGGGAGCTTTAGAATTCATGATGCCCGGGTCGCCCAGAGGTGCTGTTCTCATTGGTCCGGGGCAGGGCTTAGGCTTCAGGATTTTTAAAAAGCTCCCTGGGAGGTTGAAATGTGCAGCTAAGGTTGAGAGCCAGTGGCTCAACAGGGGACCAGGGCTCTGTTTGGCTGAGGAAGTCCGGGGGTGGGCAGAGGGGGCTGAGGAGGGGAGCATTGTGAGCATGCAGGGCTGCAGTGATTTGTGTGGTAAAAGCATGAAAAAGCATTGCTTTGGGGGCGTAGATGCTTAAACTAAAGAAAACAAAACAGAACACAAGAACACAGAGTGGCCCTGCCTTCTGCGCCCTGGTGTGTGTGCTCATTGAGTTGATTCCTGCTCAACCCTCATGGCCAGATTGATCAATCGCAGAAGAAATTCATGCACAGGATGCAAATAATTGGGTTTGGTTACAGGGAGAAATGATACTCAGTGCAAAATCACTCGCTGCACAGGAACAGCCTTTCCCAGTCCCGAGCTTTGCGAGAGTCCCCAACCTGCAGCTGGCCATGCCCAGGCACCCTTAGGCTGCTGGAAGTGTCTGGGACTCCCTTATAAAGCAGGTGCAGCAGATGGTGACCCCAAGAGACTTGCCTTGAGTTTCAAGGGCAGGAAGGGCCCATGCAGGCCAGGTCCATGTGACTCAGCCTGGGGTTTCTGAAGCCTTCAGGCTGGGCTGTACCTTCTAACTCCTGGGGGAGCTTTGAAAACAGATCTCACCCCGCCCCCCCAAATCCCTACCCTGAGATTCAGGATTCAGATGCCTTTGGTTGCTGCTGGGGCAGTGGGGTTGTTCATGGAATTGTGCTTCTCTGGAAGCTTCTAGCAGATTAGAGCAGTGGCTATCAGACATAATAGGTGTCAAAATCACCTGGAACACAATAAGATAGGACAGAGGCTCACTGAAAGAGAACAGCCCCTGTATGTTAACCAAGTTTCCCTGGGTGATTGCGACAGACTCCAAGGTCGGAGACCCTCTGCATTGGAGCATTCATGCTCAAACGTGGGGAGTTAAAAAATATGATCGCCTTGGTCACACTCCCAGAGATTCTGATCCATTAGTCCGGGGTGTGACCTACCATGTTTCCCCGAAAATAAGACAGGGTCTTATATTTATTTTTCCTCAAGAAGACACCCTAGGGCTTATTTTCAGCGGATGTGTTATTTTTTTTTTAAGTACGGCACAACAATCTACATTTATTCAAATAGAGTTAGGTCGTCTTCTGGAACATCATCATAACTCTTCAAACCCTGAATTCCATCCTGAATTTCTGGAGACTCTATTTCCTTTAGGACCATTGGCCCCAATCTCTCATGTCGAGCAATAGAGCTCTCATGGGGCAGATGAGAAGGGCTGCTCATCTTCCTTACTGCTTCGCGATGAAATGCATGGGTTGTGCAGACATGCTGCGTAGCCACGCCCATCACTAGGTCTTATTTTTGGGGTAGGGCTTCTATTGTGCAAATGCTTAGAAATCCTGCTAGGGCTTATTTTATGGGTAGGTTTTATTTTTGGGGAAACACGGTAGGTATGGGGAATTTTAAGAGTCCCCAAGGCAATTCTCCTGTGTAGCAAAGTTTGAGAACCACTGGATTAGGGAATCTAGAAAAAGGCTCAGGTATATGTGGGAATTTAGTATATGGTAAAAGTGAAATTTTAAGATCAGGGCAGAAAGGGGAAATATTCAGTAATGAGGCTGGTTCAATTGGCTATTCATTTGGAAATAAATTCAACTAGTCACTGCAAACAATAATAAGCTCCAAATGGGTTAAAGACATAAATGTAAAAGATAAAATAACAAAATTGCCATATAGAAAAATATTTTCATAATTATAGGGTGGGGAAGACCTTTTAAAAGATCACATAAAGCCCAGAAGCTACAATGGGAAAGACTGACAGATTGGTTGTCCCCCAAATTTAAAACTCTACTTAGGAAAATAAATAATAAACACATGACATGCTAGGAGAAAATATCTGCAACCTATATAACAAACCAAAGATTAGTATCCATAAGGTATTAACTATGCTTACAAATAAATACGAAAAAGACAACAATCCAATAAAAATGGGCAAATGATATGAAGAGGTAATTTTCAGAAGGAGAAATACATATAAAGTATAGATTTATATGCCAATAAATATATAAAAAGATGTTCCACTTCATTAATAATGAAATAGGCATAAATTAAATAATAGCTATTTTTCACCTATCTGGGTAAAAATATAAAAAAATTGATATAATCTATACTAGGGAGGATGAAGAAAATGGGAAATCTCTAATGTTGGTGAAAGTGTAGACAGGACTTTTAGGGAGGGAAGCTTGGCATTATCAACATTTTGAATGTGTCCACCATTGACCAGTCACCCCACTTGTAGGAATCTATCCTGCAGAAATTCTAACATAAGCATACAAGGTTAGCGTACCGGGATGCTCAGGGCAGCATTGTTTTTCATGTTGAAAAAAACGACAAGAACCAAAGTGTCCAGCGATACAAGGGAACAGTCACTTAAACCGCAATATAGCAGTACGAGGGACTGCCGGGCAGCCTCTGTGGACAGTGGGTAGGGCTCCGTGTGCCGGTGTGGAAAGATGCACACGGACGTTAGTAAATTAAAGAAAGCGAACCACAAGATAAAATGGGTAATAAAAGCTATTGCTACATGTGGTGTCTTGGGGCTGCGGTGGGTGGGGGAATTAGCCAATTATGGCTAGTAGTTTCTACCCTGATCCACTTGGGCAGCACATCAACTTGAGTCAACTTTCAGGTGACACCATGGAGAATCTTTGAAGGGCTCACTCTGAGACCCACGGTAAAGAAAGCTGGCCTTGTCTTTAGGCTTCGAAATATAATAATAATAATGATGATGATGATGATAGCCAGCATAGATAAAGTGATTTCTGTGTGGTGCCTGGCCCCCCTGTTCTGAGCCCTTCACATGTATTAACCCAGACGGACTTGAGTGCAAATCCTGGCTTTGCCACTTACTAGCTGTGGGTCCCAAGGGAGGTTGTCCCTGCCTGCTGTGAGTGTCAGCTGGAAGCTACGTGGGTAAGGATACTGCTTTAAAGGAGGCACCCTTGGTGAGGTGCCCACTTTATGCACGTAATAACCCTCTACAATTCACTGCCAACCTGAGGTCACTTCCTTTAACCCTCATCACGCGAATTCACAATTTCGACTCAGCCTATTTACCGGCTTCCTTTCTTTAAAGCTCCGCTATCAACTTTCCCAAGATTTATTCATGGTTTGGTTTCAGATTTTCTATTCTTGAACTCTTAGGGCAACTCTCCGGGTCTGGAAGTCACTCAGTGTCAATTTTATTACTTCTCAAGTATACGTCGCCCAGCCCTCCCTGACCCATCAAGGCCTCTGGCTGCGTGTGACATTTTATAATAAATAGTAACTTTGGGGTTCTTGTCTTAACGGAGGAATTAAGTTCAAATTGTGGCTCTTTAGAAATACATAAAACATGAGCTGGGCTTTTAATGGAAAAGTCACCTTCTCATAAGCTCAGCCAGGCACGGCTGGGACAGGCAGATTTAATCCCGGCCTTCTTTCAAAATCAAGAACAAATATTGGTTTACCCTTTACCAAGATGACCTCGGGCCCATTTTTGTTGCAATGAAACTGCGGTGGGTGCTCACGTGCAAAATTAAGCAATGCTTGAGCCTGCGATCTGGGGGTCATCCTACTGTCTGCAGCTCATTAGGCAAATGAACGCTCTCCATTTAGAGTGTATGGAATCCTTTAGCCCAAGGAAGGGAGGTGGAGGTATGGAATCCCAGGAATCTGCAGAGTCCAGGAAGGCAGGAACCTCTCTCACGTGTTTATGTGCTTAGCACAGGGCTGACCACATAAGGAAATGCCTGGCCAACAAATCTGCATTGTCACATGATTAACCCTATCTGCCTGAGAGGGTCACCCCAGTGAAGCTCCTCTGGAGGACACAGGTCATCTGGCTGACTGTTTAGAAACAAACATTGATGTTTTTGTTGGAAAAAACCAAGTGAGACGCCAGCCTGGCGTCAGCACACAGGCCTGGAGATAAGGCTGTCGGTCTCCCGAGCTGTTCTCTGCCGGTCACTAGCTGTGTGAACTAGTTTTAACTCCTCTGTGTTTTATCTGCAAAAGAGGAATAGAAATAATAATACTTCCCTTATAACATTGTTATGAGGAGCAAATGAATTAATTTTGCAAAAAAAAAAAAAAAGATTAGAAAGATATCTGGCAATATTTTTAAAACTAAAGCCAGGGGCTGGCAAAACCTCACGCTGGGGACCCTTCCTTGGGGTGACTTATTCCTATTCACTTTCAATGAACTTTTAACAGACAGGGACACTTTAAGCCAAATTCCTCTATATATAAGAATGTTTAGTTTGGTGGAAAATCTTAGGATTAGTGCTCTGCCCTGCAAGCACCCTGTGGCGGCGTCACTCCAGTGCATGTCCACGGTTTCTCTCTCACCCGCCACAGTCTCCCCATGGAGATGGGGGCCACAAGATCAAAGCAGCAAGTGTCATGGAGTCACTTTACTGGGACCAGTGGTGCCTCGATCATCAGCGCATGCTTGGGGAGGCAGACAGGCAGTCCTCCAGCTCTAAAAATGCCCCTTTAGCCTGCTCACAGTGCTGCCACCCCCCCCCCCCCCCCCGCCCCTCAGTGCGTCTGCCTCTCCTTCCACCACTAAGCACAGCTAAAGTATTTCCACACCAGGCAAGGACCGTTTGCTGTGAGTACTCACGGAATTAGCCTCCCGCTCTCTTAAACCTCATTGCGCTTGTGTTTACTTCTTCGGTTTCTGCCTTTCCCGTGAGGCTATGTGATGGTTGATTTTATGTGTCAACCTGACTGGGCTACAGGGTGCCCAGATATCTGCCCGAACATGATTCTGGGTGTGTGTGTGTGTCTGTGAGGGTGTTTCTGGATGAGACTGACATTTGAATGGGTAGATTGAGCAAAGCAAGTGGCCCTCCCCATGTGGTGGGCCTTGTCCAATCAGTTGAAGGCCTGACTAGAACAAAAAGGCTGCCCCTCCCACCAGTAAGAGCGGGCTCCTTCTGCCTGACTGCGGAGAGCTGGGGCATCGGCCTTTTCCTGCCCTTGCGCTCAAGCTGAAACATTAGCTCTTCTTGGTTCTGGAGCCTGCTGGCCTTCAGACAGGAGCGCGCATCGTTGGCTCCCCTGATTCTCCGGCCTTCGGACTCGAGCTGAAACGGCACCACCAGCCCATCGCCCTCCGCCTGCTGACTACACATCATAGGGCTTCTCAGCCTCCGCAACTGTGTGAGCCAGTTATTTATAATAAATCTCTTTACATGTATAATGTTATACATATACACACATATCTAATATTGGTTCTTTTTCTCCTGAGAACCTTTGCTAACACAGGCTGTGAATTCAGTGACAGCAGGAATCTCTCTGTGCCTCAGTTTCCCCATCCTTAGAGCCCAGGGAAGGGCAGCCGTTCGGTCAATCTTTGTTGACGGGAGGGACGCCTGAGTGAGAAGGGGTCTCCGTGACAAAGCCACAGCTCTTCCAAAGCCCTTGCGGCAGCGCTGGGACGATCTGTGAAGTTGGTGACCTTAACAGTTGGGATTTGCTCTCCCGTCGGCGTCCTTCTCTCTGCCCTGGTGGGTCTGTCGGTTCCCGGCTCCCCAGCCTGTTCTCTGGTCGGGGCACACACCGTGAGCGAGTCCACACCGTGTGTGAGGGGCGTGGAGAAGGTGCTGTGGGGGTGAAGAGCCAACATGGCGCCGAGCGTTCTCCTGCCGCTTGCCCCGCGCCTGTTACTGGCGGCCACTGAGCGGCGCTGGCGTCTCCTCCAGAGAAGGGTACACCGTCTCAGGAACCAGGGACACGGTGGCCGCAGCTGGGAGCCGAGGGAGGTCACGTAGGGCACGCACCCGCAGGTGGCGGAGCTGGGACTCGCCACCGGCCGTGGGACTGCAGACCCCACGCTTTTCCCAAAGACTCTCGCGGCTGGCTGGGTCATGCCCGGACATCTGTACTTCCTCCCGTGCTAGAAGTGTACATCTTCCCATCGACCGCGGCTCCATGGCGGGCAGAGGGTTCCTCCTCATCCCTTGACTTGGGCTGGGCCGTGTGACTCGCTTCGGCCAACACAGTGTCAGTGGGTGTGGCGCGTGCCGAGGCCTGCAATGGATGGCACTCCGCTTGGTGGCTCGTGCGCTCCGCTTGGTGGCTCGTGCGCTCGGCTAGCAGACCCAGAACAGCCGCGGGGTCAAGGAGCAGATTGCATCCCACCCACAGCCTGCAGGCTGGCATACAGCTAGGCCAATCTACAGGCTCCTGAGGAAACAAAAAATAAATGCTTACTGTTGTAAACACTGAGTTTTGGAGCGGCTTGTTACATAGCATTAGTGCAGCGATCGCTGACTAATGCACTTCCCTAAAGGAGCATTTTTTTAAAAATGGCTCAAGTGGAGGGACATGGGGAGAGCTACAGTGTTTGGGTCCCTGGAAAGAGTGCGATGGGCATTACTGGTCCCCGGGTCTCCCTTTCCCCCTGGCTCATGGGAAACCTTCCAACCTTGGGGAAATGAGTCAGGGCCGTGTTGTTAATGACATCTCTGGCTTGTGAAATACAAGCAGCAGTGCTATGCGGTGCTCTCGGGTGGCGGCAGTGTCACTCAGTGGGCACCCGTGCACACCGCTCCCGTGGTTTCTGTTTCCCCTGCCACTGTGGTCCTGGAGGGGGCCTGACAGGGAGGTGGCAGCCACAGACCAAAGCAGCCTGTGTCACAAAGTCACTTCACTGGGACCACAGTGAATTTTCATGCGAAAGAAATGAACTTTTGTAGTGGTAAGATGCAGAGATTTGAGGACTTCATTCCTGCATCACCCATACGGTTGTGACCAATACACAGGGCGAGGGAAAGGCGCCGACAGGGGCGGCCGTTGCAGCCTGCTCAGGACTCCAGTTCAGTTCTCCCAACTTGGGGAGGAAGGCTCCGCCATGAGTTGCTTCAAGATCCAGGAACACCCCTAGCCCCTCTTCCCCAGCTACCTCGACAGTCACACGGGAGTCCCCTGGCCCTCCCCTAGGGGTGTGCCCTGGTGCCCTCCAGGGATGAGAATCCCTTCAGTGGGCTCCCGCCCTGGGAGGGACACGCTGGTGTCCGCGGGCAGGGCTGTGGGTGGGGGAGCTGTGACTTCATTGGCCATCATGAGGTCTCTGTATGCATATTTACAAACTGGTAAATATGCATTCGGAGTCCCCCACTGCCCAGGCTTTCCATGAAATCTGCAGCACAAAGCCAAGTCCAGAAAACAGAGGTTTTTGATCAGGCCATAGGAAATCACTTTCCTCATTTCTGAAGTGCAATGCTTGTCTTTGTCCTGCTGACTCTCGGTCAACGTTAAGAACTGAGAGGGAGAGAGAGAGATTGGACTTACGGGTGCTTTGCCAGGTACACAGAGATGAACATAGCAGAGATCCCGGCCGCTCCTTGCTAGCAAGCCAATCAAATAACAAGATGAGAGGTGACCCACCGCTCAAGGTAGGAGAGTGACATCTGTGGGATGGGAGGGGGAGAGAGAGAGAGAGGGAGAGGTCAGCAGGGGAATCAGGGAAGACTTTCTGGAGGAGGCGGAGCTGTAACAGGCGCTGAGGGGTAGGTAGAATGCCCACAGGAAGACTGGGAGCAGCATGAGAAAGTGCACCGATACACCTTGGTGAGCACGGGGTCAGCAAGGAGCCTCCAGCAAGGAGGCTGGCCATGTGGAGGAGGAGAGACCTGCTACCCTTGCTGCTGGGCCATGCTGCAGGCGTTCAGAGCAGATGCTTTAGGCAGACCAAACTGTCTTGAGTCTTGGCATCATCACTTCTTACTGTGTGAGTCTGACAAGTCATTTCTCTGAACTCTGGTTTGTTCACCTGTAAAACTGGGATAATAATACCTGCCTTAAAGAGTTGTGAAGATAAATCCATGTGCGGTAGGTAAAGGCCTTAGTCCTTTGACATGCGTTTTGCACCCCATGCAGGAGAGTGAAGGACGGTTGGCTGGTCCGGGGGACTAGACTGACACAGGAGAGGTGGACCTGGTGTCTCCCAGCTGTACCCCTCTGAGTGCCTGGTAAACCCCGTGCTGAGCTCTGGAAAGATCAAAGCTTCTGGAATTGGGGTTCTGGGTCAGAGTCTTAGCTCTGCCACTCCCCACCTATGTGACCCTGTTCTGAAACCTCCCAGAGCCTGTGCTCCCTCCTCTGTAAAATGGGAGTGCTTTAGAATCATGGTTGCAAGGACTGGGTCACTGTGTGTGATCCTGAGAAAAGGAGGCTTATTGTAAGGACACACGTGGATTGGAGGGCGTCAGGATTTGTGGACAAGTTGGGGACAAGTTCTGTTTCACAGTCTCTTCCATTCTGCTTCCTTCCTTCACTCCCTGCCAGTTTGGTCCTGAGGGAGGCAGAGGGGTTGGAACTCTGTTGGGTGGAAGACTTTGGGTCTGCCCCATCATAGGTGGCCAGGCTATGTGTGGGCCTCTGTGGCTCAAGTGGACCAATCCCTGGACCCGTCAGTGGCTCCCTGCACACAGGATGGCCCGAGTTGCTTTCCCCAGCGGGGACCGTGGAAGGGCCGCTCGGCTGTTGCGTTGGGCAACCCCAGTGTGGGGATGTTAATGTCCCTCTCACAATGTCCTCTTGAGAATCCAGTGAACCAGTAAAGTCACCAGTCCCAATCCTGACCGTGTAAGTGTTGGGAGGGTTTGAGCCGTTCAGCCCCCAAAGACAGAGACCTGAACAGAGACTCAGGTGACCAAGAGAAACAAAATCAGCATCCCTGGAAGAAAGGAGAGATAGGGCTGTCCTTGGAAGCAGACTCTGGGAGTCCTCAAAAGGACATAAGAACAGGTGGCTGGGAGCAGCGTGGAATAGTGCGGTGCTGCCAGACCAAGTTTGAGAGGTCTGGATTTTAATCCCAGCTCTGCTAGAGATTTGCTGTGTGGAGTTGGCTTGGTTCCTTAACCTCTCTGGACCTCTCAGTTCCTCCAGGTGTAAAGTGGATATAACTACACCTGTCTAACTTTCTTCCATGGCTGTTACATAGTCTATGCATTTAGCTCTAAGGTCGCTGGTGAGGCCTAGTGATAAGAGGGCAGTGACTAGATCCGCATACTACAGAGATGGACACTCAAGGCAGAAGATAATCAATGCTGCTTAGGACAAGCTGTCTGAGCCTGTGCCATGGACAGGGCCAGCCACGGTGGCCGGCAAGGTGGTCCATCTACACTCCTAATGCAGCCAGAAGGGCCTTTCCAAGATGCACATTGGATCCTGTCATTCACCCTCTTGAAACCAAAAGACTGGGAGAGTCTTCCAGGGCAAGTTAGAAATATTTATCAAGAGCCTTAAAAAGACACCTATGTAGGGTCCAGGTAAGAACCCAGGTTTTGGAGTGGGGCATCCTTAGCCTCAAAAGCCTGCTCTGATCCTTACCCCGTGGCCTGATCCGCTCCCGTCAGCTCTCTGAGCCTCCTCCTTGTTCCTTCCAACACTCTCCTCCCCCAGTGGCTGCCTGGTAGAATTGTTGTGAAGTTTAAAAGACATAATACAGAGTGCGTGTCTGGCTTATGGGGAGCATTTAACAATTGTGGATGCTAGTATTGTTATCGTTATTGTCGGTAACACAGCACGTTGAAGACTACTGTAGCATCTTAACAAGCGGCATCTTCGCAGTGGCAGAATCCCTCTTCAGGAGGAACCGTCTCTGTTTGGGGAGATGCCCGATGGAGTCCCCTGGGACAGAGGACGCCAGAGGATGGGCGAGCCGTCCCGTCTGAGGCACGAGGAGGCATTTGTGGGCCCGTGTCTGGGAGAGAAGAGCGAAGAAGGGAGGGTGCACAGAGAAGCAAAGGTGATGAGACGGGGACAGGCGAGTGAAACCCGCTGTGGGGTGGCCTGGGCCAGAGAAAATCACTGGTACAACTCCTCTGCGGGGAAATGAAACATGATGTGTCAAAAGTCTTAAAACCACACCCACCTCTGTCTGCCAGCAATTCTATCACTACAACTTTATCCTGAGGAGGTAATCATGGAAGTATGCAGATAGATATTCGGCAACAACAATATACATTGCAGGCCGGGCGTGGTGGCTCACGCCTGTATTCCTACACCCTTGGAGGCCAAGGCGGGCGGATCGTTTGAGCTCAGGAGTTCAAGACCAGCCTGAGCAAGAGCGAGACCCCATCTCTACTAAAAATAGAAAGAAATTAATTGGCCAACTAAAAATATATAGAAAAAAAAATTAGCTGGGCATGGTGGCACATGCCTATATTCCCAGCTACTTGGGAGGCTGAGTCAGGAGGATCGCTTGAGCCCAGGAGTTTGAGGTTGCTGTGAGCTAGGCTGACGCCATGGCACTCTAGCCAGGGCAACAAGAGTGAGACTCTGTCTCCAAAAAAAAAGAAAAAAAAAAAAAAGAATATACATTGCTGTGGTTTGTTTTTTATCATGAAAAAATAAAATGAAAACCTAAATGCCTACCAATAGGTAATTATGGGCTATGCATCCACACAACAGAATAAATGCTCAATAGGCATTAAAATTGACAGTGTAGATCCAGTTTTAATAACAAGAAAAGTTGTTTTAATTTTATTATTTAGATAAATAAAGCATATTACAAAATGTAAATGTGTACAACATGTGTAAAGTGTGACCTGATTTTGTAAAAAAAAAAAAAAAAGCCAACAAAAATCTATACATGTAAATTTTCAAAGGAAAAATCTAGAAGATGTATGCTAAAATATCAATGTAACCATCTAGGAAGTGGGATTTCTGGTGACTTAGTTGTTTTTATTTTTAATTTTTTGAGTTCTCTTTTTTTGCTTATTGTTATGTTTCCTCTAAAATATCTCATTTGTCTATAAAATATATGTAGACCAATCAAAGTAACAAATAGAGGCGATTTTGCAGGATGCAGCCATAGCAGTCCTCATAGGGAAATTCATGACTTTAAGCATATTATCACCAAAAAGAGAAGAGCAACAAACTTTATGTACTAGAGAAAGAACAAAAACAAGCCAAAGGAAAAGGGTAAAAATATTATAATGATAAATAAATAGAGTAAATAAGTAAATAAATTAGTAAATAAATTTAGTAAGTAAATAAATTAGCTAAAGTAAATAAATTAGAGAACAACAACAACACAAAACCTCCAGTGGAATTGATCAATAAAACCAAGAGCTAGCTCTTTAAAAAGACCAACAAAATATACAAACCTCTGTGAAATCCAATCAAGAGGGAAGAGAACACATAAACAAAATGAGAAGTGGCATAACATTTAACACACCACACACAGTTTCACATTCAAACATTAGAATCATCTTCATGAAAATGGATCATTTTCAACAAATCCATAAACTACCAGGGGCCTCCAAACGTGGACCTTATCCGTATGACAAAAATCAGCCACCAAGGGAAGCCCAGGCAGAAGGAACTCCTTCCCATCAAAGGGTTCTGAGAGCCGCCTTTCCTTTCCTCACGACCACATACGAGTCAATTAAATAAATAAATCTAAAGGGAAACTTCTGCCAGTAGCTTGATCAAGCATGTCAGGATCGGTCTCAAAATGTTATTAAGACACGCCAGGGCTGCTGGCTGAGATGACATCATTTGACAGAAGCTGTGATTTTCCTCCAACCACAAACCAGCTCAAGGGTTTCTGCAGGGCCTCTGAAGTCACCCGTGGCCTCTTTTGCTTGGCGAAGCTTCACACCTTGGAGCGTGCTTGCAGGCGAGGCTGGTGTACCCAGGCACGCTCGATTCGTGGTCAAGTTCCAGCCTTTGAGACAGAGTCTTCTTCTCACGGACGCTGCTTTGAGGATCCTGATAAAAGGGTCTCTCCTTGGGGACATCGGCTTCATGAACCTGCGCCCTGAGTACCTTGTCACATTTGTTGATAAAAGTAAAAAAGATTGAAGAGTGTGGGCATTTCCTTGTGCGTTCTTTGCTCTGACAGTTTCTAACTTAATCTGGGTCCTCTGTAAACATGAACAGATGTTCATAATCATAACTGCAGAGAGTAAGTCTTGGAGTATATCTTCTTTAACATCCATTTACAGGAAACTGTTGGTGACACCAAAACCCAGTGATGGTGATCAGATGTTACCTAAGTACATAGACTGCTACCCACCACATCGTACTTGTTGGGAGGGAAATAATAATATGTCATAAACCCTTGTTACTTAACAAAGACTGATTTCAAAATACAGCACCAGAAAGGAAATCAAAGGGAAAACATCAGTTAGAGAGACCATGTTCAACATCCTCCTCCAAAGCTCATTTAATTCCAGGGCCTCTGAGTTAAGAACTTGAGTCTTTTTCTATCCCCACATTTCAGCCCAGCCGGGGGCACCTGCATCGACCCACAGGGGGTGGGAGCTGATCGAGGCTGTGAAGATACATCTCTGCTGTGTAGACAAGAACACGCAAACCCACTCAGCTCTTCAGTGAATTAATACAAACCACATCCCACAGGCACTTTACAGGGCTCAGATTGGGTGCTGGGTGTGTTAATCAGGGTTCTACAGAGAAACAGACCAATAAGGTAGAGATGCCTGTGTGTGTGAGAGAGAGAGAGATTTTAAGGAACCGGCTCATGCAATTAGGAGACAGGCAAGTCCAAAATCTGCAGGGGAGACCAGCAGGCTGGAGACCCAGGGAAGAGTTGATATTGCAGCTTGAGTCCAAAGAGAGCGTGGAGGCAGAACTCCCTTTTCCTCGAGGGCCCTCAGGCTGTTTTTTCTTAAGGCTTTCACCTGACTGCAGGAGGCCCGCTCCCATTAGGGAGGGTAATCTGCTTCACTCAAAGTCTAATGATGTAAATGTTGATCTCATCTAAAACATCCTTTCACAGCAACATGCAGACTGGTGTTTGACCAAGCGTCTGAGTACTGACTGTGGCCAGGTCGACACATGAAATGAACCACCACTCTGAGCTGGGGACATGCATGCGGACAGTGCACAGGTGAGCACTCCTGGGAGCGACACCTGGGGATGGAAGGCAAAAGGGTGGAGCAGAGAGAAAGTCGGGCTGCAGGGCAGGCCCATCAGAGACCTCAGCCGATCCCACTGGGAGCTTGGAAGCTGGTATCTCCTGTTGTTCCCATTGAATCAAGGCAGGGAGGCTGGGCCATCATCCCCTTGCACAGACCAATCACTAGGTGGCGGCTGGCCCTGGGGAGGGACGTATTTTCAGAGTGCTTGATCTGAATATGTTCTCCAAAATGCATTTGTTGAAGCTTCATTGCCAATGTCGTAGTATGGAGAGGCGGGGCCTTTAAGAGGCGATTAAGTCATGAGGGCACAGCTGTCATGGATGGGATTAAGACCCTTATAAAAGGGCTTGAGGGAGTGAGTTCATGCTCTTCTGCTCTTGTGCCATGCGAGGACACAGCGACAGCGCCAGCTTGGATGCAGACAGCAGCTCTCGCCAGACACTGAGCCTGCTGGCACCTTGATCTGGGCCTTCCCAGCCTCCAGAGCTGTGAGCAGTCAATCCCTGTCCTTTGTAGATTACCCAGTTTAAGGGGTTTTGTTGTAGCAGCACAGACTAAAAACAGAGATGGTCTGAATTGAGAGCCATCAGTGCCCAACTCTCCCTGCACCCTGGGGCATAGGTACCTCCAGCTGGAAGGAGGGGTTGGGTGATGTGCCACAGTGTCTACTGCACAGACATCATCTCATTTTATCCCTCACAGAATGTTGCAACGTGGGCATGATTATTCCCACTCTACAGATGCAGAAACTGAGGCTCAGACCAGTGGACTGACTTGCTAAAGCTTGGCAGTTGGTGTCCCCAATTCCATTCCAAGCCTGACAGGCTGTAAATTAGGCCAAGCTGTTCAGTAGCTCAGCTTTAGGATGTGGACTCCTATCTTGGGTTTATGTATAACAGACATTCCCATGTCAGGATGTATATTCTTCTCCCTAGTTGGATTGGAGGGTGTCACACTTGACAGCTGGGTAGAGGGACACACACAGCTAAAGATCCACTTGATCTCTGGAAGGGCTCTATGAAGTAGAAATTATTATTAACCGTAGTTGACAGTGAGAAAACTGGCACGGCGGGGTTACGTAGCTTTCCTAGACTCTCACTGCTGCTAAGTGGTGGGACCAGAGTTTGAACCCAGACCAGCTGAATCCAGAGTCCAGCCTTTGAACCTCTAAGTTCTACCAAGCACCTCAAGTGAAGGATTCTAGGTGCTCAGTGGGAGGCAATTGGGAGGGGTTGGAAGACACAGGGAGGACTTCCTGGGGGAGGTGGCACTTAATCAAAGAAAGTAACGGCGAAGAAGGATTGGGCATCCACTTGGCTCAGGCTCCGATTCAGGGTGGAATGGGGACGCGCAGGGAGACTGGAGAGGGATTACGGATGGCAGCGCTGCAGAGGCCAAGGCAGGGAGCTGGGACCTGAATATAAAGAGGACTGGGGACAGTGAGAAAACGAGCCAACTGGTGCAGGCCCGAGATGGCATAAGAAGCTGGCAGGGTGCCTGGCCTGCAACCCCAGCGCCTCCATCCCTACTTGTCCTTAGCCCTGGAACACAGGAGGAATGTTTGCTCCTCCTTGGCTCCCTCCAGGGCCTTGGCGGCTGACACACTGACCCACATCACAGGCAACCGTGCGATCCGTTCCAGCCTGCCTGGCAGGGCCTGCTGGCTGCGTGGCCGCCTTTGCTGAGTCTTCCACTTGGGTGGGCAGACAGGAAGCCGTGCGGGCTGGAGAGCTCTGTGCTTCTCAATTGACCCAGCTTGTCTGGCCCCTTCCCCTGACCTTGCCTCTGAGCCTGGGCCTGCTCTGGAGGCCTCCACTGTCCCTGAGTCCATGCCAGGACAGACGAGACGATTGTTCTGGACCCCATGGGCTGCCTCCTGATAGGGCAGTGTGTGTGTCACGCCCTCCAACCCCCAAGGCTCCTCATGGTCTCTGCCCTGGAGTCTACAGACTGGCCATAGAGGTGGTGGCTTCTGGAGAAGGTGGCTCTTGATGGGATGGGTAAGATTGAGGCTGGTAAAGGAAAGAAAGAAAATGAAGGGAACAGAGAACAAAGTGAGCAAGGTATCTATAAGGGCCAACAGTCAGTCACTCACTTATTCAATAAACAAACACTTCTTGCAGACCTGCTGGGGCCAGGTGATTTATAGGAAGGAAAGCATATCAGATTGGCTCTAAGGAGTGGCAAACTAATGCTACACCTCTCTCCTCCCAGATGTTCCCCAGGTAACGCCATCTCCACGTGGCCCAAACTGACCTCACTGTGTTCATCTCCTCCTGTTGAACTCCGTCCCCATGAATGATACCACCCGAAACCCAACTGCTCCAGCTAGCAAACTGGGCCATATCTTGGTTTCTCTCTCCCTCCCTGCCCACAACCAGCCCTTCGACCCCTCCTGTTGAGCTGGCCCTCTGACAGCTGCCCTCCGTGGCTCTGCCTCAGCTGTGCTAAGGGCCTGTCACCTCTGGCCTGGGCCTCCACAGCTGGTATCTGTGCTTTCACTCTGGCCTCCCTCCTGTCCATTCTCTGCACCATGGCCACAGGCATCCAGTTGGTTGTGGCAGTTTGAGGCTTAAAATCCTTCACTGTTTCCCCTACTACCCTCAGGACAAAGTGTCCAAAGCCCTGTGCCAGGGACTGAATTGTGTCTTTCTGCAAAATGCATATATTGAAGCCATAACCCCCAATGTGATAGTGTCTTTAGGAGGTCGCGAAGGTTAAATGAGCTCATCAGGGTGGGGCCCCAATCTGATGGGATTGGTGTCTTTATAAGAGGAGGAGACACCAGAGAGCTTGCTCTCTGCCATGTGAGGACACGGTGCGAAGGCGGCCGTCTACAAGCCAGGGAGAGAGCCCTCGCTAGACTCCAAATTGGCTGGAGACTTGAGCTTAGACTGCCTAGCCTGCAGAACTATGAGACGGTAAATGTCTGTTGCTTAAGCTTCCCAGTCTCAGGTATTTTGTCAGAGTGGCCAAGCAGACTAATACAGTCTGTGTGATCTGTCCCCTGCCAACTCCACCCAGCTAATTTCTCTCCGTTTGGGCCATCATCAGAGCTGTTCTTCCTGGAAAGCTGCTCTTTATCTTTTAAATTGACAAAAATGATATATTGATGGTATACAACATGCTGTTTTGAAATAAGTATACATTGTGGATTGGCTCAATCAAACTAATTAAAATATGCATTACCTCACATACTCATTTGTTGGTAGGGAGAACACTTAAAATCTACTCTTAGTGATTTTCAAGTATACAATACCTTGTTATTAACTACAGTGACTGTGTTGTACAATAGATCTTTGGAAAGGACAATTTCTTAAATGAAATAAAGGCATCCAAATTAGAAAGGAAGAAGTAAAATCGTTTATATTCACAGATGATGTGATCTTATGTATAGGAAATGCTGAAGAATCAACAAAAGACTATTCAACCTAATAAACAAATTCAGCAAAGTTATGGGATAAAAGATCAACATGTAAAAATCATTTGTATTTCTATATTCTAGCAAGGAACAAACCAAAAAATGAAATCAGGAAAACAATAGGCCATTTAAAATACCATCAGAAAGAATAAAATACTAAGGAATAAATTTAACCAAGGGGATACAAGACTTGTTTGTACACTGATAACTATAAAATACTATTCAAAGAAATTGAAAGAGATCTATATCAATGGAAAAGCATCCCATATTCATGGATTGGAAGATGTAATGCTGCTAGGATGTTAATATTCCTTGAAGCAATCTACAAATTCAATGTGATTCCTATCCAAATTCCAATAGCCTTTTGCAGAAATGGAAAAGCTGATCCTCAGATTCATATGGACTTGCAAGTGATCCTGAATATCCAAAACAATTTTGAAAAAGAAGACTAAAGTTGGAGAATCCATGCATCCTAATTTCGAAACTTATTGCAAACCTATATAATCAAAACAGTGTGTCACCAACAAAAGAATAGACTCCATATAAATCAATGGAATAGAATTGAGAGGCCAGAAATAAGCCCATACTATGGTCAATTAATTTTCTACAATTATACCAAGACCCCATTCCTTGAGGGAAAGAATAGCCTCTTCAACAAATGGTGTTGGAACAACTGGTTCCAAA